GTTTACAATGATTAAATTATGTCTACTCTGTTGGCTCTTTAATAACATGCTCAACTTTTATCATGCCTTCACCTCTATTGCAGTCAAGTAATGGATTTTGATATTCTTCGTTAAATCGTTTGTCATGTTTTTAGTCGTTACGAGTTCAAAGTTAGCATGCAAGAAATCATTGCCGACAAGGTTCGAATATGGTTTGGGGGAAGGTATTTCCGTGACGTTCAGTGCGTAGCTACTACCTAGCAAACGTGTTTTTAGCGAATCAAATCTGTTCAACAGTCTGGAAGAAACAGCTCATTCAGACCGTCCAGTTACACCCGTTTTGAAATGCTGCATAAGCAGAGCCTTGGAGCCGAGAAATGTCAAGTCTGATGTAAGATGCAGATGCATGATTGTTTTTTTTTAAAAGGGCGACCCGCGGCTGCACAGCAATCAAAACTCGCTGTCATTCGTACTCGATGATTTGGTTAGCACAGCGATAAGCTGCATATAATTGTAATTTTCCGCATATAATTGTAATCTCATCTTACTCTGCCTTTTCCGTCGTAGGTTTGTGATTCACACGAATTCTGTGACGTAGTCGCTTGTAGCCATAAAATTCAGTGTATAATCACTCTGAAACAACCAGACAGCGTTCTTCAGTGAATCTCTCATAAGATGAACAAAAGCCGCTTGGAAGTACGTTTTAAGATTATGCTGGAGTTCGCTAGAAAGGCTACTGGCATCTGACGAAAACAACTTTTTATAATTCAGACTGGTTAATCGCATATTAATGCGCTTACATAGCAAACCGTTTCCTCGTCATTTATTCATTTGGCACGAAACGCGGTAAAGCGTATGAGATTAACCTTACCACTTGTTAGTACTTGGAGTATCAAGTTCCGCGCTGCTATTTACGTCACTGACGAAATTTTTACTCGTAGGAGTAGATTAATCAGCAGGTTTAGCGTTTTGTGTTTAATATGGCGAGGCCAATTTTTGAGAAAGAAGGTTTCAACTGCCTGTTAAAAGTTTTTAGATTAGTCTTCGTACGTCTGATTTCCGTAAACCTTTAAACCGCAGCAACCCTAGTCAGAAAGCCTGCAGTTTAGATCAAGACGGCGATAATAACTTGGTTTTCGATATTAATAGTAGTTGCTTTTGACAGTCTGGGACATGTGGATTATCACGCAGTATCGTTAGATTTAGTTGATTACGTGATAAATCTCCACTGAATATAGGATTGTGAAACGAAAATTTTCCTGTTCACGAAGAATAGAGAAGTCAGCACTTCTGCGTGGTTTCGCATATCATAACAGTATCGTCAGGTTCAGAGACTTTATTGAGTGATTGTCTGTCACTTTCGTTGCGGTAAATAGTGTATAACAACAAGTAAATATGTCGCAAAAAATTGAATTGCCTACTCATTTCAAATAAGAACGTTTTTTGATCTTCATCGAATGAGTACCGAGATGGTCTTTCAGATTTTACTGGACGAATTGATCTTCCGCTTATGCTGCTGTGATCTGAAAGCTGAACAAAAGCCAGGTTCAACGGTTATTGCCTCCCCAATCAATTAATTCACGACTGTTTCCTCGATAGTTGTTTGACTACATAATGAACGTGGTCGAGAAAAAATTAAGTGATCCATTTCTGCGCATCACTATTTAAATGATAAGCCATTTATCTGGTAGATTTTATGAACGGAAAGTTGATCCAGTTTCTGTTTTTATCCCGGCAGTACTTTAGTAAAAATCTTTTCACTTGTTTATCTTTATAGTTTTTAACTAGCCGCATTAACTGGGTAGTGCAGAGTAGCGCTGTCGATTATCTCCATCTCATGTTGACATCTATGAGGTGGCTGTGCACGACTTACAAAATAGACGCTCGATTTTCGATTTCGTTCCACGACGAGGTTTGTTACGTAGCGCGTGGTGAGCAGATTTAAATAACTATTTCAGGTGCGCTACATCGCTTCCAAGACTGACCAGTACCGGACTGCTCTGGCCTTGCAACTGACCAATCTGTTGACACGGGCAATGTTTGTTCATTGTGTCGGCATGTGCAGCCTACCAGAGGTGATTTTTCTCACCATTGCTGAGTGTTTTTCTTTTTATAGACCACCATTATGAATGAATCATTAACCTTTGTCATGGCATGTGCAGACACCGCTCCTGGAGTAGAAAATTCCAACCATTTACGCAGTTGTCAGTCTTTCGATGATAGATGCGGTCTGAGCATCTTTCTACTGACATAGCGGAATCTTTTCCAAAGTCTTTTTATAAGATATTTAACGATCTTCGCAGCACTCGTATCAGAATTTAATCGAGGGACGTTGTTAATGTAGTGTTTTGTGGCGTCATAAAATGGACGTTTGTCAGTCAGTCAGCTTTTTTGACCGCTTATGCTTCCGGGTCTCGAATTCAGATGTATCAGACAGTGTCGCCAACGTTCCCGGTCCTGTGCCAGCGTTTGAGTTTCAGTCAAAAGTAAGCCGATTTTACAGAAGAGACTGACCAGTCATTTGCCCCAGGTCATTCTTGACCTTCAGCGGTATCTTCGGTCGGACGGTTGGGCTAGTTGTTTCGCCTTCCTTTCTGAAAGTATTCGAAGTACCTACCAAAACTATCGTAGCTGTGACTTCTCAGTTTGCAGATGTAGCGGCTGTACACCAGAGTTCTCTCGGGTATCTAAACTTTGGATTGTGTCAAGAAGCGGACATAATCGCTAGCGTGAGACTAGCGATTGGTCCTAGTAAGCCCATTTCAGCAGCTTGTACCTCGAATGGAAGATTTTATTAATGGCCCGCGACTCATAACCGTAGGCCGACATCAGGATGAAGATCGACTTGAACAGAGACAGCTTAGCCTTCAAAATCTGCAATGTCTTAGTGTCAACAGTTAAAGCTAATTCGCGAAGAACGGCGCACCCCATTCCAATTCGTCTGTCGACTTCTTCCTCCTATCTGCCATCACCACAAAAAGGACTCTCAGATACGCGAGCTTAACCTGTTTTACCGCTTCTCCGTTTATCTGTAAAGCGCAACAGGCAGGAGAACGAGAAAGCACTAGGATTTGGGTTTTAGACACGGCCACGCGCATGCCAGCCACGCCGCACTGGGCTAGCTAGCGAGCACTCGAGATCAGTTTCACAAGATGCCGACAAAACGAGGTCCTCGGCAAACAGCAAACTTCTGGTTTCCACATCTTTTACGCTGTTACACACCGCCCTGGCTGTGCATCACCTACTTGTGCATGTAAGACACAGACAGGAAAAGGGGCAGAACGCTGCGTTCGTGAAGACCAGTTCTAATAATCAATGATTTCGACTTTACGCGATTTACTCTGACACAGCACCTTTTGTCAATATATAGTGATTGGATGTCTGTAGCTTATTGCGCTGGATCCGGTCATAGGCTTTCTCCAGGTCAACAAGAACACGTAAACCGGATGAGCGAAACTCCACGATTCCTTAATAATCTGGCGTAGAACGAAAACCTGGTCAGAGTTGCTGCAGTCTGACCTGAGGCAACGCTGATCTTATATTTTGGAATCAGCTGTTCCGCGGCACCTCCTTTATAGCACCTTTTCGTAGACTTTACCCGTAAGGTTCAGTAAGTTA